TGAGAAAACTGGCCCTGACATGAGTGTGTTGGTCGGCATATGTCCGCCCTGCGATGGACTGGCGTCCCATCCCGGGTGTATCCTGCCTTGTGCTTTTTAGTGCTGAACTGTAATTGTAACAAAGGATGTCCAAACGTGGCCTTTGGGGGAAACAGTGTTTAGAAGTTTTTCAAGAAGTTCAGCACTTAACCGGTCAATTACACTAGGTTTTGGGCTTCCTGAAACAGCTTTCAGCTTTTCCCCATCTCTGAAGGTGTTGGTAATTTCAAAAGACCAACATTATAATCCCCCACGCCTGCTACTCCACTTGAGTCCTAAATTGCTGGAACTCACCTAACCTTTTAGTTCAGCCTTGCTTAAAAAAATACTTATTTCACCAAAGTTCAGGAAACTTGAAAATTTGCATGAACGCCACGGTACTGAGGTCTGGTATTATGAACATCATCACATTTATTGTTTTAAGGAGCTGATCGTTGATTTCAGAAAACTGTAAAATGGTCATGGCCCTATCCACATCAATGGGACTGAAGTGGAAAGGGTCAGAAACTTCAAATTCCTTGGCGTCCATATCACCGAGGACCCCACATGGTCTCTCAACACCACTTGTCTGATTAAGAAAGCGCAACAGCACCTGTACTTCCTAAGATGGTTGAAGAAGGCTAAGATATCTCCCCAGATCCTCACTAACTTTTACAGATGCACTACAGAAAGCATACTGACAGGCTGCATCACAGTGTGGTTTGGCAACTGCAGTATTGCTGACCGCAAAGCCCTACAATGGGTGGTGAAAACTGCCCAGTCCATCACTGGTTTTGCTCTCCCATCCATCCAGGACATTTATGACAGATGGTGCTTGAGGAAAGCTCTAAGCATCATCAAAGACCCCACACACCCCAGCTACAGACTGTTTGACCCTCTGCCATCTGGAAAACGGTACTGGAGCATTCGGGCCCGGACTACCAGACTCAGAGACAGTTTTTACCCCTGCACTATCAAACTATTAAACTCCCAGCCTCTCTCACCTACGATCTGAACCCTTACAGTGCCTTCTCTCTTTATCAAAACTTGAACACACATTGAAATCTACAGTACCTCTACCTCACAGGTCAACAGGTTCACTCCCCATAATTTTCTATCCTTCATTTTATTCTGTTGACATATGATTTTGCACAACTGATGTTGTTTTGCCCATTATCTGTTACCTGTTGTTGTTCTGCACATTGCCTGTTGTCTCTGTCTTTCTTTTTTATACAATTGTATTGTTGTTTTTGGTGTATGAGCATAATGACAATAAACGTGAACTTTAATGACCATGTGACCTCAGTTTCCACTATGAACCAATGTGCAATGGACATTATAGGAGTATTTGTTACAATCTACTGTAATTTCCATCTATATCTGTGTATCACTAACTGGCAACCTATTAAGAGTGGTTTAGTAACAGTTTACAGTATTAAATAAGATGTAGGCAGACTACCAGTGAGCGAAACACACTTCCTCACAGAAAACACATCCAAAGAGGAGTATCTGTGAAACTTCCTAGGGCAGAAGTAAAAATCAGCAATAGGTTCCTTTGAAATTTGTCAAATAAATTCCGTGTGCCACGTTTCTTCAACTAATGATGCTGATGAATAGAGATAACGTTCAAGTGTAGCTAAATCTTTACCTTTATGATGCTACAACATTTTCCCATTAAATAAAAAATATATGCAGATCACAACTAAGAGCTCTTGAAGTAATTTTCTGAAAGCACAACAGCATGTAGTAATAGTTAGGGGCTCTAGACTCTAACCAGAAAGTTGTCAAATAAAATGCTAGGTTGGACACCGATTGCTTTAACCGAATTGCCCTGTTGTGGGCACAAAAAAGTTACAGTAAGTCGCTTTGGATAAAAGTCTCAGTCAAATAAATTCATAATTAAAAACTCCTGCTAGGAGAGGCCATCTAATACACCTTGTCATGTGAAAATGTTCATATACTGTAGGAGTATGTGCTTATTTTGTAGTGTTTTGATAGGTTTCTGAGTCACGTCTGGTGTGGACTACTTGCAATATATATTAAGTTCACAAACTCTTTTATGACTTTTCCTGCTGGTGAGGCATTATCCCATTAGAAACATTTATCTTTTTGCTATAACATCAGTTCCTTCACTGACAGGCTGAAAGAAGTGAACCTTTTTAGTCTTGAACTGAGAAGACTTCAAGGTGATCTGATACAAATGCTCCAAGTCCTCAAAGACACCGAGATGGTCAAACCCACCATGACCAGTACCATTACCTAAAGGGTTGTGGGAGCCTGGAACAAGCCGACTATCCATGTTGATGAAGACAATACCCTGATTTCCTTGTATCAATTAACTACTACTCATTTTTTCATGTTTTTTTTTCTTTTTGTATCTTTATCACAGGCACCACTTAAATGTTGTCTGTACTTCAAGAAACACAATACCACTCAGCACAGCACTTTGCTACAAAAGTCCCTGGATTTATTTTTGTATAACTGAATGTATTACATGAGCAAGGCAGGCTTAAGTGTTTGAAGCATGAGTATTAAGAGGACAGCAAAGGAAAAAGTCTAACACTGCCATATTATTCCACTTTACAGATCAAGTAGGTAGACCACTACACTCAAGAGCATTTGTACATATTCACAACTCCTCAAAGTCTGTCCACATTAGCACAGTATTTCAAATGCACAAACAATAGAAATGTGTTCTTTCATTTTTATCTAAATATGAAGTGTTGAGTCACCAGATTCATAAAGGCAACATCAAATAGCACAACCCTTGCTGCTAAAGAATGTAGCATGACCTCTATCCCCATATTAGCTAAATGGCAGCGAAAAGGCTCTGCTGATCATTAAGGATGTTTTCATGAATCACATATAAAGTAGGGCAGCACTCGCAACCCTGGGGCTCACGTTCAATTCTTGGAGTGCTGTCTGTGTGGAGTTTGCATGTTCTCTACATGTTTATTGAGTTGGGGGTTTCCTCTGTGTGCTTAGGTTTTGTCTCATAGTCCAAAAACATACAGATAGGTTAACTGGCTTCTACGAAAATTGGCCCTGATGTGAGTGTGTATTTGTTTTTGCCTGTGTCTTGCCCTGCGATGGACTTGTGTTCTGTCTAGGGTGTACTCTGAATTGCTTCCTGGGATAGGCTCTGGGTCACCGTGACCCTGAATCGGGCAAGTGGTTACTGAAATAAATTTCATGATGATAACACGCGGTATGCAGTACTCACAGCACTGGGTTCCTAACTTCCAAACACACATCTGAAACAGCTTCACACCTGGAGAAGCAGTTCATTGCTTTTCTGCGAGTGGGAATGTGGGATCTCCAATTCTTGCAAAAGACTGAGAAGGGCTCCTCAGATTATAATGGTAGGAACAAGCAGTACCCTTGTACTGGGTGAACTGTGAATGTTTCCACAGTACTTCTGTGTTTACGGTATTGTAGACAATCTGTTTGCATGACCGTGTGTAGGTCAAGTTACCACACACACGTTTGTGTCTGCTCCAGTTTGTGCTTAGTTTTTGTCGCAGGCGGTCTACAGTGAAAACTCATGGCTTCTGGAATTAGAGGCTACGGTTGAATTGTAATTTTCATAATCTGGACTGCTGCCCTTTTAAGAAAGCAGTCTTGATTTTCATACAGTCATTTTAAGAAACAAGAATTTCTGGGAAGAATTTTTGTACGTCTTACTGTATGTCTAGAGTTCCTCTTTCATTAAATCATTAAAAGACCAATACATCCTTCTATGTTTCAAACAAGACAAGTGTTGATTAAGGAGCAATGTTTTATCTTATTATGCTGCAAAATTCCCTATTGGAAAGCTATGTTTTTGAGTTTTATAGACAGCTTTAAATGTTCAATGAAGAGAGGTCTGGGAACCATATTGCAGTAGCTTCTCCTAATTAAGTAAATGATTCATGTAATTTTGTTTTGGGATTCAGCTTGATCTAAAATTAGGTTGGCTTTAAAATTAGGTTTAGTATTAATTTTTGTAACCAAGTTGGTGAATAACAGCAAGAAACTGTTATGATAAGGCACTTTATTGAACACTATCATGTATACATTCATTTTGATATGGGTTGATATTGTGAATAAATAACAAATACACTAGCTATGAAGCATTACTGTTGCTCAGTTGTGACGCAGCTACAGTTTTGTAAATTAATGAAGTGTGGATAGATGAACAGTGAACTAAATATCACATCAGGCCAGCTTCAGCTTAAAACTGCTGCAGGCTACTTAGCATTTAAAAAAGATGGCATGAACTTGAAAAAAGGTGGCTGGAACTCTGCTCGGAATACTGTTGAGAATAAAACACAGGTAAAGCACAATAAAACACAAAGCACAGGTATTGTTATAGCTGAATCTTCCAAGGAAAAAGGACGAGTCTTAATTCGTTTTATTGATTACAAAGCATGCACCGTGATTGAGGCATTTTGCAGATTAAAGCGCATTTCCGCAATAATAATGACAGCATTAAAAAAACAGCAAGAGAGGCCAGTCACTCGAACAACCGGTCCCTACATTATACACCCTGTCAAGTCAGATAACATCTCGAGTAGCTGAGGATTCACTTTAAACTGCAGAGAGTGCGTGGATGTGTGGGTGATACAGTACAAGCATCAGATAATAAAAAAAAATGTCAAACACAAAAGCCTTCGACATTGATCTCAAAAATGCATATACAGTAGCAACAAATTATTTATTTTTTTCAGGTAATTGCGGAAACACCGTTCCTAATCACGCTACCGTAACAATGAAGCAAATTTTATTTTGCACTTGTGACGTGCACACTATTATCTCTTTAGAAAACACAGATTTTAATAGCAGTTTAAGAATAGCTACAGTATGCATTTTGTTTTAATGCGAGGGAGTCATTCATACGAGAGATGGCTGTTCTAAACTGTAGCGCAAAGCGCACAGTACTGTACTGCATGGAACTACAGTAGCTATTTGCTATTATAGTTTAAAATGGACGCAGTACTCACTCTGCGTAGCCCGTGGACCACGGTAATCTCCGGGTCTCTTTCAAAATGAGGATTGGTCTGGCGATGTGGTCCGCGGAGCACTCGATCTCGTCCAGCGACAGTCCCAGAAACTCGGGTCTCATGTAGGGGAATTTCAGAGGCAGGTCCGAGCCCCCAAGATGATCATTACTGGAGCTACCAGCCATGATGCCTCCCATGAAATTGGCAACAGCAGATTTCACCCTTGTGAGCATATTATAAGCTTCGGCAAGGGATGTTTGCGAGAAAGTGCACCGGATCCCCTTCCCCCAGATTTACCCCCCCACCCCAAGTCCGAAATGCGCTCAAACGACTGTGCACCGAGTAGGGGCAATTGCTAGTTTGGAATTCATTCAGTCCTGTAGGATCCTCGGGAACACGGAAATAAACCCATGATGAGCACGGTCATGTGACGAGCCGGCTGCTGGATTTGCTCGCAGAGGCAGTGTTTTTTGAGGAGTTTACAGTTCGTGGTTGCAGGTCAAAGGTATCCTACAGTACGTACAGTAGTACCTGCACACCTCTATATTATTATTATTATTATTAAAACGCGGTTACAGAAGCAGCCTTGAAGTGCGCTGTCCAGCAAACAGTTCTTAAATATTGCCATTAATAATGATAAAGCAATAGTCATTGGTTTCATTCTCTTAATCCTATTCTGGCGTACAGTATGTGAGGCGAGTTGAGTGGGCATTGATTATAATACAGTATTACTTCGCCACAGGGACGATCGGAATGTTTTTGTCTTCTCCGAGTCTATTTCCCAGGGAATTAAGGTCTAGCAAACAGTGACGGACCCCGACTTTCTCATGTCTGAAGGATTAACACCATTAACGTACGGCTATTCCGTCTCGTCAAACGAATACGTTCTTTTCATTATAAAACATGAAGAGCTGTTTGGAAAAACTGAAACAGGGGTCGTGTCGAATGAATTTCGGCGAGTTTAAGTTTAATAGAACTGATATACTGTATGTTACAGAAAGTCAAGTGCTGTAAAATTGATTAGATTACAGATGCATAGCTTTGATGACTGTGGTAGCTGATAGTATTGTTAATTTTAGGTTTCTTGATGAGAGAAAGCGATAACGTTTTTTTTTCTTTCTGGATTTAATTGCACTGACCCTTTCAGTACTGACAAGTGCTGCTTGAATCTGCTCTTTGAAAGGCATGCATAATTAAGCTTATCTGCATTTTCTTTTTTTTATTTCTGCTCCCTTTCTTTCATGGAGTGTGTTTTATGTGACCCTACTGTACATTGTAGTCTACTCTATATTTGAACACAACATCTTTGAAAGTTATGTCAACCCCTGTACGCACGGATTTTTTTTTAAAAAATACTCTACTGTACAGTATATCATTATGTCAAGCTTCTTTTTGAAGAGAACCTGTAAATCGGTCAAAGTTGTGTTTTGTACATACTGTAGACAAGGTCATGGACAGCAGGCATTAACAGACTACGAGTGGTTGGTGTTCTGTGAACGTTCCATTCATCTGCTAGCGAGAGGTTTCTGCTGATGCACTGCTTTGATAAATAATGAATAAATAATGTGACACTGTGCACAGTCTGCTTTTCATATCACACAGGCTGTTCCAAGCTCATCAGTAGAAGATTCTGAACAGAGCTTTAAGTGTTATCCACTTGGATAAAGTTTTCTAGAAGCAAATCATTCCTCTTGCTTCTCAACATAAAAAAGAGAAAATGTATCAAGACATCACAGCGCTCTTAGACCACGTTTGTACAACATAGAAACAGCAGTTATGATTAGGAGCAAGCAACACTGACTTTAATTTGGAAGCTGGTGTGATTTTGTTGTAATATGACTCCTTTCAGAACGGTCACATCACCCAGTGACATAAATACTGTATTTCCAAGTCATGCTCTAGATCCTACAATAAGCATTAGAAGAATGGATTTTTTGTAGCACCGCTTCTTAATGTGGATTAGTGGATATGTTTTCATTAGAATTTAAATTCAGTAAATACAATGTAAATTGTTTTGTATTTAAAACGTTTCTAAATAATAACAACTAAAATAACGCCTATCTGTGAACAGAACAAATAGCTATTAGACTATAGTATATCACTACAAGGATATTTTTTTTTATGAATCCAGTCTTCAATAGTGAATATAGGTAGTTTTTGTATCTGTGACAATGAATCAAATTCATTGGCATCCTCCCACAGTCCAAAGTCCACAGTCCACAGTCCAAAGACATACTGGTAGGTTAACTGGCTTCTGGGGAAACTGGCCCTGGTGTGAGTATATGTTTGTGTCTGTCTGTGCCCTGTGATGGACAGGCATCCCATCCAGGGTGTATAGTATCTCCCCTTTTGCCTGTTGCTAGCTAGGTGTCACGATTGTAGTCCCTCCCCCTTAAGGGCGCTCCGGCTCTTTCACTTCGGACTTGATTTTGTGCACCTGCCCCCTGTTCCAGCCTCCTTCCAGCCCACCTTAAATGCCAGATGCTCACTCTGTTCCAGGCTCTGCATTGGTTCCCGTACCAAGCGAGTCTGGGATCTGGAACGTCTGGTCCCGTTCCCCCTTTTTCCCCCCCGACCCCTCCACCGGATCCCGCTCCGGTTTTTAATCCTGTTTGTCCTCGTCTCGGATGGCCCGCCCGGCTTTGAGCCTTTTGCCTCCCTCTTGGATTTCCCTTTGGACTCTGTTTTGGATTATTTGCCCAGGACTCACCCCCCTGAACACCTGAGCACTATGGACACGCCCCCCCATTTACATTCCCGACTCCTGCATGCTTTTTCCCCCCGTGTTTTCCCTCACTCATCCCCGGATTGTGTCGTCTGCATAGGGTCCGGAAAGAACGCTTTTGTGACACTAGGTTAGGCTCCAAGTCCCCTCGCGACTCAGTACTGTTATGTGGATTAGAAAAGGGTGGTGTGGTGGCACTGTGGCTAAAGATCTGCACCTGTGGCTGGAAGGTTGCTCTGACCCCAAGCTTCTCTCTCCCTGTCTGTGTGCCTGTGTGTCTCATGGAGAGCAAGCTGGGGTATGCGAAAAGACAAATTCCTAATGCAAGAAATTGTATATGGCCGATAAAGTGATCTTAAAATGGGTGGGTGAATGGATTTTCCAGTATTTAAAGTTCTAAGCACCAGATGTCATGATGCCATGATAAAGGCTATATTTTAGAGGGGAGGTTTATTGTTATCTTAAAAAGATAAGCAGCAAGCAAGTTAAGCCAGTTCAGTGGAAGACCTGTACGCATGCAGGAAATATGAGCAAAGCTGACAAGGACTGTAAAAGAAAGATGAGGACAATTTAAAACTTTACTGATTCACACATGTAACCAAGTAAACAAACGCTATGACTACTCACGGTTACATGTTACATGTTGTGTCTTAATAATGTTTTGAAATAAAAGTCACAGAAGCAGCTTCGTCCAAGAAAAAAAAAACAGGTTTTTGTCCCAGCTACTGTAGTCTAACAAAATACAACTTCCTTCATGATTTAACTTATTTATCTTGCCCAGACGTCATCTATTTATACTGGATCATTACCGCATTGCCAGTCAAAAAAGGTGGTAAACAGAATGGGTTTTTTTGTCTTTATGTGTATTTTTGCTATACTGTTTGTGTAGATGTACAGTATTTGAGAGATTTGAGGAAGATAGACTGAGAATGCAGACAGACTAGTTTTCTCAACATGAAAGACGCAAGTATTATCTTGAAGAAGGCTCGGCAGCGCCTCTATTTCCTGAGGTGCCTCAAGCGATGGGGGATGCCAGTACCTGTGTTGGTGAGCTTCTGCCGCTGCACCATCAAGAGCGTCCTCACCAACGGGATCACCGTGTGGTACGGCAACACCTCTTCTCCCGAGGGAAAGGCACTGCAGAGAATGGTCAATGTGGCCTAGAAGATCATCAGGTGTGGTCACACAGAGATTAAACAGCTCTATGAGGTCTGCTGCCGTGGTAGACTTCTGGCCATCACAGAGGACAGTCACCACCCTGGGCATGAGCTCTTCACCCCACTGCCCTCAGGCAAGAGATACAAGAGCATTCTTCAATAGCTTCTACCCACAAACAGTGCAATTGGCAAACACATCTGGCCATGCCCCTCTGACCACACCTACACCATCAACCACATTGTAATTTTATTTATTTCACATCTGCAGTCACTGTTTACATGTCTGCATTGTTTACATTTGAGCTGTTTACTTGTTCACTTGTACATTGTCTACTGTTTGTTTGTATATTGTCTTGATGCACTGTCTGCACTTTGTGTTTTACTCTTTTTTTAACAATTGAGAGACTTTCTGTAAGTAATTTCCATTGTACCAGTACATGTACCGGTTATATATGGCAATAAAGTTCAACGTTCAAAATATGAATAACAGCACCACTTTTTAAGCTTGACAAACAAGTGGAACAGGCAGACCAAGCTGAATTATGATGAACAA